AATATCTCTTGTTATGAGGAGATGTGCTTCTATGGAATCATAGAATATCCAGAATTGGAAAGGACCCACAAGGGATCAGTGAGTCCAACTCCTGGCCCTGCACAGGACAATCCAGAAATCCCACCATGTGGATTACGGACTGTGGCAGTGTGTGGACTGTGGGCTCTGCTCCATCCTCCCTCTCCCACTCCCACCCTTTCAGACTCACACAAGGGTGTCTCTGTGGGCAGCCATCACCCAAACACCATTAAAAGGTTGAGAGGGTGTTAACACTCCTAAACTGGATCTAAATCCGTGGTTCTGGGGGCTGGTGCTGCTGCAGCAGCGACACAGTGATTTGGGTGCTGGGAAAGCCCCTTTGGGCACAGGATGCCTGTGAGTGCACCCGCCCTGCATCGATGGTTTGGCACCTCCGAAATGGGGACATGCAGCCACCAAGAGCTGCCAAAATGGGATGGCCTGGGCCAGAGCAGGGACTTCCTCTGGAGCTTTGCACAGGGTTGGGTTAGAAATCAGGGCGTATTTGCACAGCACTTGCTGCCTGCTCACCTCCCCCTCACCCCCATGCGTCCTGCAGCCTCAGTGTGCCAAAAATTGAGTGCTTGGGAGAGTTGGACGTGCAACCCTCAGACCCCAGGGCTTAAACTTTCCTCCTCTTCTCCCCATTGGGAATTGGACACCCCTGCCCCAAGGGATGCCCGGTGTCCCCCAGGCAATGACATGATGGTGGGCCCGGTCACACCGCTGCCTTCCCCAGCTGTAGCCCGGCTGGCTAGGGGTTACCTGGCACGGTGGCACAGTGGCCTGGTGCTCGCTGGAGCCAGGTGGAACCTGCAGCCCCTGTGCCGTGCCGTGCCACGCCGTGCAGCAGGAAGCCACACGCCTTCCTTCAGCAGCTTTGCCCCCACAGCGCGGCAGGTGAGGAGATTAAAACCGAAAACGCGGCGCTCAGCAAACCCCGCTGCAGGCACCCCAGCCTCCGTCAGCCCCGTGCTCGACGCCAAACCACAGCGCCCGCTCGAGAGCTGCTCCCATCCCCCTGCGAGATGAGGGCCCCGATAGAACTCGGCTGGTGCCGGTGCTGCCGCGCTCTTCCTGCTGCCAGCCCGGCAACGGCTCCCCCCGCATCCTTCCCCTGCTCCCCTTCTCCATCACCCACCCCACAGGGCTGGGTCCCTCCTGCACCACCTGCACCCCCTGGGAGCTGGTTTGGGCTGCATGGCCTCACACAGGAGCGTCACCTCCCTGTGGGATCAGAGCGGCTTTGCTCTGGGGTGAAGTGGGCCCTGTGCTGCCCCAGGGGCACGGCTATGCCACCTCCATGGGGAAAGGAAGGCTTGGCATGGCACCTGGGGAGGGAAAGCTCCTGTTCTGGCAGAGCCGAGGTGGCCAATGCATCTTCTGCCTGCGTGCCCATAATTCCTGTGGGACTTGGGAGAGCTGGACTCAAACAAAAGATCAACTGCCTAGTCCTCAGAAAATGTGCCTGGAGCCCCGCAGGCTCGAAATCTGGGTAGTGAATGAAGAATCCACCGCAAAATGTCGCCTGGGGTCTGGGGATCTGGTCGGGATGGTTGAGGTCAGAGCGAGGGGAGCAGGTAGGGCTGGGAACACCCTTCCTGGGCCCCGGGCACAGACCTGTACGGGGCTCTAAGTCACGCTGAGAGGGGATGGTGCTGCAAGGGACGGTGCTAAACGGTGCTGTTCCCACAAGAGGGAGCGAGCAGGAGCCCAGCTTACTCCGTACGGTGCCGAACGGGGCTGCCGTGCAGTCCTGCACTCTGCAGGACGGTGCACGGTGCTGCAAGATGCATTACACACCGCACGGTGCTGTGCTGGGTGATTCTTGAGGGTGTCCCGTGCAGGGCCATGAGTTGGACTCAGTGATCTTTGTGTGCCCCTTTCAACTCAGGAGATTCTATGGTTCTATTTTGGGATGGCACCTTACCTACCCCCCCCCCGCCCCCTCAGCCCGGGCCGGGGGTCGGGCTGGTGGCACTGGGGACTCTCTGCAAGGGCGGGCGATGCCCGTGAAGTTGCTCAACACCGAATGGAACTGCCGGAGCCGCCAGCTCAGAGCTTCGGCCGCCGTTAACCATTAAACCAGAGCAGGGGCGGCCGCGGAGCCTCCCCCGGGCCCCCCGGGCTCCTCCAGGGCCCCTCTAAGGGGGCTGTGGGGCCGGACACACCCCAGGGACAGGACAGGATGGGGATGAGGGCTGCTCCGGCTGCGCTCCTCCTCCTGTCCTCCCCCCGCAGGTTTGGGGCCCCGCGGGTGTCCCGGTTCCCCGGGGACGGTGCTGCTTCCCCCCTTCCATGCAGGGGGACCCCGCGGGCAGCAGTCCCGGGGTGACACCCGGGCTCTTGGCCGGGCACGTGGGGGCTTTCCCTGTTTGCTGCTTTATTTCACATTTAGGAAAGCACCTGGACACGGCGCAAGGTGGAAGCGGCACCTGCAGCCATCCCCCCTCCTTTCCCACCAGAGCAGGGAACAAGGTGCAGCCAAAGCAGCCCTGGAAGCAAGCTGGGAACATCGCCTTCCCGGGCAGGGCATCCCCAGGGTGCCCCCCCAGCACCCCCAAAGTGCCCGAGCCGCGGGAAATCAGCCGTGTGGGCCAGCCCAGGGCTGCCGGGGGGCAGACGGGGAGATGGGGTGGGGACAGGCGGGGGCCACCGTCCGGCATAGACACACGGACTCTGTCCCGGCCTCCAGAATGCGGGTTGGTCAATCCAGCAGCAGCAGGACCTGGTGGCCCCTCGCCGGCCCTCCCGGCCCCGGGGGAGTCGGGGCAGGTGAGGAAGAGCACGGGTGGGAGGCAGCCCGGGCTCCCCAAGCACCCCGACCCCAATACCCAATACACTACAAGTGCCCCGTGCCCCCCACATACCCAGGGCACCCCAGGACCCCCTGTACACCACACAGCCCACACACCCCGGGCACCCCACATGCCCTGGACACCCCATGCACTCTACGAATCCCATGTATTCCAGTACCCCAAGCACCCCCAGTACCCCACGCACCCCGGGCACGCCACACACAGCCCTGCCATTCCGGGTGGGATTGGGGACCGCCCTCCCACCCCAAAAACGCAGACCACACCTCCTTTGCAGCAGAAAGAAACTGTAACTTTTGGGGGAGCCCTATAGCCAACTTCCAGTGGGTCTAAAGCTTCGGAGGGAACTTTCGGGGGGCCCTATACGTTTTGGGGGAGTATCACATTGTGGGGAGCACTGCAACTTTTGGAGAACCCCTCTAACTCATCGGCAGCCGTAAAATTTGGTGGGGGGGACATAAGCTTTGGGGGGGGGGGGGAACCCCCCGAAGTTTTAACACTGGAAAGCTTCGCCCCGGTAAGTCTGAAGGAACTGCCGGGATTTTGGGGGGTGGGGCGCTTTCTGGTGGGGGGGGCCCCTAATTCCTCGCCAT